TTACGAACGTGTCACCATTTTTCATTCTTACTCTTTCCAGCAGTGTTTTCTATCGTGTTTTTTATGCTGCTTTAAATATGGAAAAAAAACATTTGCAGTGTGTTGAGGTGAAAAATTTAAACTACTTTCAGCCACTCATGAATTATTGCATGATTCATGACGCCACAAAAAAGTTGGAGAAGATTATTCCATGGAACTGACATTATTCGTCACCGAATGCCTCATATGCAGCAATAGTATCAAAGCAGATATATTTCCTATCACTTGAGATTCTGAAATCCATCAAAAAGTGCTCGTTTAGAAAGTCAATGCAGAATCTGCGATGCCAAGGTGTTTATTCTCAAGACTTGATGGTATGGAGGTGGTGGGGTCACTAGATTGTAGTCAGAAGGTTGTAGATCTCGAACTTTCGCTGCAGAGTCTCCTATGTTTTTGTTTTCTATTTTCCAGATGTACTTGAAGGCATGTTCGTGTTTGTGAACCATAGATACGCAAGTGGGCGTTCAGAATAGATTCTTCATTCAAAAGCCGTGGAAACAAGTAGAAGTGGTCCAGAATCACAACCCGAGAGAAATAAGGTTTCGTATATACTTCGAAATACTATAACGTTCATGACAATAACCGTGAGAGATACCCGGTCAGAAGTCATGTTAAAAATACAGACCGAAAAAATGAGGTTCCCCATTCCCACATCTCCACAGGAGCCTCTGATTTGGTGGCTCACCCCGTGGTCATGGAATTGCTGTTCACCAACAAGGAGCTTTAGTCATGTAATGTTGTCGGAGATAGCGAGAAACAATGCCCGATGTGCAATACACATCCATTATCGTTTGAAACTACTAGGAATCATAAGGAGCCAACGTTCAGAGGCCGCCCCATCGAAAGTCGTCACAAGTGAGCACGAGCGAGCCTTAGCTTCCACTCGAATTCTGGTTCCCACTCGCCTGTAAAAGACATCGACGCTATTCGATATTATTGTCAACTCCACAAGGAGAACTCTCAATAGACGACGATTGTTATGGTGTGTGTCTTATCGTTGCATTTGGAATGTATATATTTCTTTTTTGCCGCTATTCATTGCAGAAAAGAACACTTTTCGACATCACATCCAGAATAGTGAAGCCGCATGACGAAGTATTGGACCAATCAGGTCATACTGCTTCCATTGTCGTACTACATACTAGCGATTACGTCGTTCATTTACTTCTCAACTTAATTCACCAACGCTGACTGTCTGGTTTCTCATCTGACAGTAAGATTTCCTTAAACTTATATTCACTGTTCAACTTCTTTTCCCTCATACATAGATATTTTAGGAACACTCAATAGCAATGATATTGGCCTCAAGAGTGGGAGAACACAAACTCGTCATGTCCCAGGACCGCATTTATTTTGACCTTGGCGTTGATCAACGCACACTGTTTTCTTGATGAGCGAACACAAGGTTGTTGAAACCAAGATTTGCTCAATAAAATTCTGGCCGACATTTTGGCGGTTTAGCCTTTTTCGGAGCTTGCAACAGTCGGATTGACAGCGGTCCACACAGTCAATCACTATCATATCATCGGCAGGCAAAACTGTTAGTAAATAAATGGTTATTTGCATAGAGTAGTGAACGGCTTCCCCAAAACACTCGCCACTTTTTGTTCTTAATTACTTCAGGTATTACTGGAGAGCAGTAGCACAGAGTATTACGTGGGTGGAAAGTGTGGGTGGCTCAGGTCGAAAAGTCGACATGAGAAATGGGCCAGATCATACGTGATCACAATATACTCCTCCTTTCGGTTCATTTTTATAATTTTCGTAGTTTATCCAAAACTTTTCAAGTCTTTTACGCGCTGACGTTTTAGACTTCTGTGCGAGAACTATGACTTCTACTTGAAAATCTTTTCCATTATGCCTGTTGGTCCTAGACGCGCCTAGTGGTACATTTTGTTTGACTTTACGCTTGTCATCTAAATGATCTTTTACTTGGATGCAGAGTTGTCTACCCGTTTCGCCAACGTATTAGCCTCCAAACGCTTCACAAGAGACTTAACAAGAGATGAGGAAGAAAAAACCGTGCTCGAACGCTTGCAATCACCGTCTGTCTCGTTAGTGCATATTATGTACTTTTTCCTTGTACATAGACGGTCATAGAGGCGGTTTCGAACTAGTTGGCGCTCCGGTGGTATTTCCATATTTAGGCGGTCTTTGCAAATTTGACAAATCTTACCATCGTAGACTTTTGTCCATTTTTAAAGTTGAGTTGTTTATATCGAAGATACTTCCGAAGCTGGAAACGAAATACTGGTGGCATTTTCAACTAGAACTTTTACATGTGAAAAATGAAGTGAGTGAGCTGAGCCTCGACGGACAGTACTGTCACCTGTATCACATGTAGCTCCGATGATCGTCAAGAGACTCGAGCGGGCGCTAGTAAATCTTCCATCTTTCCCTGTTGCGTGCAAGAGTAGCTCAGTGGACTTTGCTCGCTTTAGGGACTGGTCGAGCATCACATATTTTTTTAGGCTCTTCGTGAAGAACTCTGGTCAACGGGTCGGTAGCCTCCTTGAAGTACGTTTGACATCCCGAGGAATCCAGTCACTAACGTCTCTTGTCCATCGGTTGCCATTCATACGCATTACGTGCTCGGCTCACTTTATCTTCCACTGTTTGGCGTACAGAACGGCATCTTTGATTTTTGATCGCTGACGCAGATCGGAGCTTCGGATCCCATCCCTTACTTGTGTGGAACGGGATACTCCTAGCATCGTCCTTTCGACTGCGCGTTCGATAACGCTGAGTGACCTTTCATCCTGCTTACGCAGGGACCAGGTTTTTGGCGCATACGTTAAGGCAGGAAGTTCCGTTGAGTCGAAAAGATGGGCGCGGAGTCGGGTGTTTTTTGTTCTCTTCACTACATCTTCGATGCTCTTGAAGGCTTCCCAAGCTGCTCGTTTCCTCCTGCTCAGCTCTGAAGCTAGGTCGCTCATCATATTGATTTCCCAACCTAGATAGACATAGCCGGAGCATTCGGAGATATTCGTCCCGCTGAGCGTGAACGGAGCATGAGAAACCAATCTGTGCTTCACGAACATCGTTTCTGTGAGATTTAGTCGAAGACCAATCTTTCCACAGGCTTTATCAAAGTCGTCAAGCATACGTTCCGCTTGGCTAGTGTTTGGTGTTATAAGGACGATGTCATCATCAAAGCAAAGATGGTGTACCTACCGACCATCGATTTTCACTCCTATATTATCCCATTCTAATGTTCGCATGACGTTCTGGAGGGTGGCCGTAAATAATTTTGGTGAGATGGTATCGCCATGCCTAACTCCTTTTTTGACGTCAATGTTAATATCGTTGTAGAATGGCGATATCTTGGTTGTGAATTTTTTGTATAGCTCATGAAAGATCTTTATGTACTGAGTAGAGACTGCTTGACTATCAAGGGCTTCCAAAACTGCTCTTACCTCAACTGAATTAAAGGCCTTCTGTGAATCGCTGAAAGTGAGACAGAGCGGTCTTTTGTACTCTTGTGATATTTCAACGAGTCTTGTTATCGCGTGGATATGGTCCATTGTACTAAATCCTCTTCTAAACCCTGGCTCACATGGCTGTCCTTCGTCTAGTGTCCTGTAAATCCTGTTTAGGATAACTCGAGTGAAAAGTTTGTAGACGACAGATAGTAAGCAGATTGGGCGATAGTTCCCAGGTCACCCTTCTTGAGCAATAACACAGTCTTGCTGGTCATCGACTAAGTAGAGACCTTGCATTCGGAAAGGTAACGTGTGGAGAGCCGAGCCAATGTGCTTACGAGGAATGGCGGAAGGTTCTACTGGTATTCTGGTCTTATTCTGTCTGGACCTGGTGCTGTTCGTTTTTTCACCGGCGATCCTCCTTTAGTTGCCAGGATCGACTTTCTCTTAACCTCGGCATTTGAATATGAATGTGTGGTTTTCTTGTTCAGCAATCGCGAGGTTTTTAAACAGCATACATTTACTTCCATAAAAACACAATACAATACAACGCTAGCTGACGTTTCGGCAGTATCGCGTTCTTCAGCTGTTCTATAATCAGCTGTTCTAAACTTCCTCATTGGAAGTCACGAAAAAGCGCCTCTGAAGAAGGCGATACTGCCGAAACGTCAGCTAGCGTTGTATTGTATTGTGTTTTTATGGAAGTAAATGTATGCTGTTTAAAAACCTCGCGATTGCTGAACAAGAAAACCACACATTCAGATCCTCCTTTATTTCATATGACGGAAGGTGGACGTAGCTATCAAAGAGATCTGAGTAGTATTGGTGAATGATTTTCTTCATTGCCTTTCTGGACGCCCTAACTGTTCCGTCTGGGCCCCGGAGAGCAATAATTTTGGTCCTGTAATTGGCAAAGGTCCGGTGGGCTTTGCGATTGCTTTTCCCATCCTCTGCAACTTCGGCCATTACTGCTGCTCTTCTCTCTCTAAGATCTTCTTTTATCGCTTCTCTGCATTGTTTTGCAAGTTCGGACGTTAGTTTGCGGTTGCCTACAGCTCGTGCGTTTCCACGCTGGCGTATCAACTGGAGTGTTTCTGGAGACAGACGTCTCTTGGTAACTTTCGAACTCTGAGCTTTCATAGCGCTATCGTGAAGATGTTGAATGAGCCGATCCTATTCTTCGTCGATGTTATCGACAACGACATCTTCCCAACAGCCGACCAATGAATTGAATAAATCCCAATTTATGGTGGTTCTGGGACTTCGGTTTTGCAATTTAGCGGGTTTTTCTTCTTTGGGTGAGAAATAGAAACTTTCACGAAGGAGGCGATGGTCTGATCCCGTGTAGAATTTTGGGACAACAGCGGCATTGGTTAGGCAAAACCTCCTATTTACTGTGGTGTGGTCTGTTGCGTTATGGTGCTCTCCATTGGGAGACTCCCACATCCAGCGCTGAGGATGGGGCTTTTGGAATTGCAAGTTACCATGTATTGTCTTGGTCGCCATGATAAACTCAGATAGCCGCTCACCCTGTTCGTTCTATTCTATCCCGTGGGTCTCAATGTGACGTTCTTCAAACGTTCTTCTTGCTCCAATCTTGGCGTTGAAATCTCCATCGATGACCTTGAAGAATGTGTGGTCTTCTTTGTAGAACTTCTCCAAGTCCATGTAGAACGTTTCGACTTCTTCTTCGTCGTAGTTTGATTGCAGCGCGTATACGACGAACATTGTCAAAGCCAGAATTGATCCACGTCTTTTTAATCGTAAACGTCCGATTCGGGTTGTAAGTTGTTCGAATGAATCGAGTTTCATGGACAAACTCGTGTTGACGAGACCGTCGACGCCTCCGGCTCCTCTTCTGTCGCATGTTCCTGGGAACAGTACAAATTATTGTTTCAATTCCGGTATTTTAGTAGCCTTTCCGTATTCGTGCTATCCAACGCTGCGAAATTGAGGGCTCTTTCGGGAGCAGGGGAACGAGGCCCATTTTTTCTTTTACTGTGTTTAGCATTTTTGATACCCACGTATAGCTTGCTGGGCTCTGAGCGTGGGGATTGGTATACTCACGGGTTGCTTGCCAGGCTCTTCCGGAGTGGACATGGAGCTTATTTGTTGGCCATATGCCTTCTAGTCACTTTATTGCAGGCTTTTGGCCGAATTGACTAGTAGAATACAATACGCATAAGCAAGAACGCACCCACATACGCACCGTGAATACGCCTAGCAAATAGAGAAAGTATATGCCAAATCGGTAAATAGAATGTCCATCTCCTGGATCCACCAGCGTCTCAGGGAAGCAAAGGTCGCTTTCGGTCCGCTATTAACCCCCTTTCCGCCACCTGCGGACGCGCCACTTAGTATCGCGACTAACCTGCTCGAGATCCCTCATATGAGGGAGATCCGTGGGGACAGTACTGTATGTTAAAGAAAAGCAGTCCAGGGCTATTCTGCTTAATTAGTTGTTTGATGTGGAGGCACGAAGAACATCACCATGAGTGCTTCGACCATGTTTTTAAAATGTGCAATCTACATTTATGTAAGAGAAGTCTCAGTAAGTTTTGTTTCCAAACATCCATAATTTTTTCGAATATCTTAAGTCGTAAAATCAAGTGAGAAGCTCAAAGTTATCATCCTGCTTTAGTGTTGTTTATGTTCCTTCCGTAATTCCATACATGATTTTGTAGCAGCTATTTTCAAACGGTTTCTGTGAAAATTGTTGTTTTACGTTTGCTTCTTCTTCTCCCTTTCTAGTTTTTTTCCTCCTACCATTCCTCACTGTAATGATCTTTTTTCGAAGAACGTTAGTGTCACTGTAACGTGTAAACGAAAATCTTGCATGTTGGAATGCGACCCGCAGCGATAATTCGGCTATCAGCATATCGTTCCCTCCTGGTTTTTGTAGAGTTCCATAGGTCTTCCAGCAAAGGGAACGATCCAATGAGTAAAAGCAGTGGAGCTCAACCTTTAAGTTTATTCTTTTCTCACTTCCTTCATAAGGCACGCTGTGGTTCGCGAATATGCTGAAGACATTTTCGTGGTCCTATGGGCGGCAAATGCCAGTAATGAGGAATCCTAACGGCAGTAATTCAAACATCTGAAGGTATGGGAAGGCCGGAAACTCGGTAATCACATACTTTGGCACCGACCCGAGATGATTCAGGGAAATTCTAAAAGGGTGAGTGGGATGAACAGTGATTGCTACAATTATTTCTACTATTACAGTAGTCGCAGATCCTCGTTTTGTTCACCACTTCTTCAGGAGGAGTACTTTTCATGTATGCTCAACAATTTAAACACATGTCGATTATTTTACTGCCAAAATTACATGGGAGTCGGTTTCAAAATTATTGTTTCAATTCATAGATGTTTTACTGTCTGGTCAATTACTAGTTCCATACCAGAAATACCTGTAAGGTATTTATGTGGAGATCTTCTATGTGACGAACAGCTTGTGTCAGCAAATCTTCACTTCGCTTTCCAACTGTTCGTCGACGGTCTAAGAATAAGACGTCTCTCAGACGGAAATAGCCACTTTGCTTAGTCGTTTCGAAAGGAGTGATGGAAGAAAAAACGTCGTGGGGCTTCCCTTTGCGCTTTCGTTGTGCACCAATATTTTTCGTGATTGTTGTAAAAATTTGAATGTCAGCCAAAGGAAGCGAACACGCTTGGAAACGCAGAAAAACGGAAACGACGTGCTTCGTTTGATTGTTTCAGTAGTTTGATAACCAAACCAATAAAATGACGGTGTCCACTACGGATGAATTTGTTCTTCATGCACCAATAATGTTCTACAGAGTGAACATGCACCACTGAATATTTCATCGATCAGCAACTCTGTATTGGCAACGAATAGTGCTGAAAGGTGTAAAATTAAGCAAAATGAAGGAAACTGTTTTAAGAAAGTTGTGGTGATGACAGAGGAGATCAATAAATGTCCCAAGTTTATGTTCCAAGTTCCAATGTTCAAGTTTTAACCTTCTTCACAGCTTATATAGGTCAAGTCTACTGCAATCTGCACGGCCAAACACCTCTGGAACCAAACAGAACGAATTCTAAACTAAGAACTCCCACAACCGACCTTCTATTAACCTCGGCATTGATCAAGTAATTCTTCGTATCCTTGTTGAGCAAACGCGAGGTGTCATTATTCTTTATTCACGAATAAGCTGGCGTTTCGGCGGATTTCGCCTTCCTCAGAGCCGAGAAAGGTCAAGTTGATAGCAATCTACTCGGCCAGACGCCTCCATAACCAAACGAAGAAACTCTAAACCAAGATTTCAATAACATTGAACACAGCTTTGCACACTCACCGCTTTCTATGAGGTTTCCACTAAGTATGTCACGTAGAGACCAACCGCACAAAAGTCACATGGAAGCATAATGTGCCCCTCCCATCAGAATAGCAGTCTTATATACTGCCCTATATCACGCGTGATAATGAGGCATTCTTTCCTGCGGTTCGTTTTCGGATTTCTGGAGTTAATCCAGACCGCCTTGAGAGTTTTTCGCGCCTGTGTTCTTGATTCGCGTGCGAGGATAGTGACACATACTTCAAAGTCGTCCCCGTTATGTCTCTGGGTCCTATGCGTGCCTGGCCGGCTATTTGGCCTATGTTTGCCAGCTAGGTGTTCTTTTATGCGAACACAGAGGGGTCTACCCGTTTCGCCAATGTATTCGTCACCGCACATCTTACAGGAGATCAGATAAACCTATACCCGAGGTCATGCAATCACCGTCTCTACCACTGGGGCAAATTATGCAATTTTGAGTTGCACATAGACGGTCATATAGGCGTTTACGAACTAGCTGGCGCTTAAGATTACTCGGTGGTATTTCAACTACGCTTACCGAATTCTCTAAGGCTGCCCTTCTCAAGCATCGTTTTATAGCTGTACTTATATCATTTGAGATGAAGAGTAGGATAAACGGGACCCTTCAATCGCTAGAGTTGTCGTTTGGAGGCCTGCGATTTCCTCTACACCTATCCTGAGCTACAGTTTCGTAGCCATTAGAAATGGCTATTTGCCGTGCCAAGTTCCGGGACTCCTCTCTCTGCTCTCTTCCCGTGCACACGTTGGTTGCTGTTCGAAACATGTTTCCCACAAGCGCCCTTTTCGTGTGAGAGGGGTGAGAGGAGAGGTAATGAACCAAGATGTTTTTACTACTTGGCTTTCGGTACCACTTTGTAATGTAGCCATTTTCTGATAGGTGAATTTGAATTTTGAATTTGAATTTGAATTTTTATCACGCGTGATATAGGGCAGTATATAAGACTGCTATTCTGATGGGAGGGGCACATTATACTTCCATGTGATTCCATGCGGTTGGTCTCTACTTGACATACTTAGTGGAAACCTCATAGAAAGCGGGGAGTGTGCAGAGCTGTGTTCAATGTGATTGAAATCTTGGTTTAGAGTTTCTTTGTTTGGTTATCGATGCGTCTGGTCTAGTAGATTGCTATCAACTTGACCTTTCCAGGCTCTGAACAAGGCGAAATCCGCCGAAACGTTAACTACTAGTGTTCAAGTGGAGGGTCACAATTCTACAACTCCTCGCTCTATGTCGATTTCTGCCGTACCTTCAGGTGTTTTCGAAACGACGACGTTTGGAATGATGGTCCGTTCTTCATTCCATCCTCGATAATTTTTCACACAATTTCTCATTTTACATTTAGTTCATTTTAATATTTTGAAGCATCACAATGACCAGAAGCTGCTCTTGGATATGTTAGAAAAACACTTTAAATTTCTTTATGGTCTTGGTTATATACAAGTTCCAAAATCCCATTATTCTTCATCAATGAGGAAGTTTCAGTAAATTTGAAACACATAGCACCAAGTGTCATCAAATCCCTCCGAGCAGTAGCGTTTGCTTTGGCCGGAAAATGACAACGGCTGTAGGCCACAAGTCACCACCCAGTTGCCGCCAAGCTTTTTCTGAGCCTTAAAATAAAGAGTAGGTAAATTTAAGATTGGTGTAAGAAATAACAACTTTGGTGCTTAGTTTAGAGGGCGCGTAGCACATCGGATAGACGCGCCCTGCACTACACAAGGGATCCATCTCGCCCCATAGACCTTTCAAGCCTTCCATTGAAACGAGCTATATCTGGGAGGATAGGAAATGCAGCAGCCATCTTTAACGATGTTTAATGAAGTTGAATGCATAGCACATCCTTCAAGGATTATTCAACGTCGAAAGCTTTTTTTACTGCTTAGTTTGCTAAAACACTGCTCGAATTTAGTTTTCTTGAGAAAAGACAATTTTTACCTGGCCTTCAGAACAGATGACCTCAAAAGCGAATTTTATGGCATTCGCTAGAGTTTTTTAAATAACATTGCAAACAATTCGTCTATGTGAATTCTATCACGGATCTCCCTCACATGAGGGATCTCGAGCAGCTTAGTGGCAAGGCTACGTGGAGCGTCCCCAGGTGGCGGATAGGGTGTTAATCGCAGACCAAAAGCGAGTTTTGTTTCCCTGAGACGCAGGTGGATCCAATCGATCGACTCCCTGTTTCTGCTCCGCCGATTTGGCACAAACTTTCAGCATTTGGGAGACGTATTCATGTATGCGTGTGTGGGTGCGTTCTCGCTTATGGGGATTATATTCTGCGAGTCAATTCGGGCAAAAGCCTGCAATCAAGTAACTGGGAAGTATATGGGAGGCGGTAAGAAGTTGCCTCCAACAAATAAGCTTCATATCTACTCTAGGAGAGCCGGACAAGCTACTCGTGAGTATACCCAGCCTCTACGTTTAGAGCCCAGCAAGCTACACGTAGCTATCAAAAAGCTAAAAACGGGCCTCATTCCCCTGAACCCGAAAAGCCCCTAATTCAGATCCGTTTGGTAAGGCGAAAACGGACAGGCTGCTGGAAGACTTGCTCATGCAAGCAAGAAGGATAAGGTACGATCTCATCGGCCTGGCCGAGGCGAAAAGACGCCACCCATTCAACGCCGTCTATGACACCGGAGAAGAACTATTCCTCGGAACATGCGACAGTAGAGGAGTCGTCCGCGTCGGCTTTCTCGTCAACACGAGTTTCTCCATGAACATCGATTCATTCGAACAGCTTACAACTCGAACCGGACGCTTAAGATTAAAAAAATGCTGATCAATAATGGTTTTGGCAATCTTCGTCGTTTACGCGCCGACATCAAACTATTATGAAGAAGAAGTCGAAGCGTTCTATATGGACTTGGAAAAGTTCTACAGAGAAGGATTTCAACGCTAAGAGTGGACCAGGGAAAACTTCTGAAGAACGTCACAATGGGACCCACGTATTAGAATTGAACGAACAGGGTGAGCGGCTCTCTGAGTTTATCATGGCGACCAAGACCATCCATGATAACTCGCAATTCCAGAAGCCCCACTCTCAACGCTGGACGTGGGAGTCTCCCAATGGAGAGCACCACAACGAAATAGACCACATCATAGTAAATAGAAGGTTTTGCCTAACCGATGTCGCTGTTGCCTCAAAATTCTAAACGGGGTCAGACCATCGCCTCCTTCGTGTAAGATTCTATTTCTCGCTGAACGGAGAGAAAGCGACTAAATTCAAAAACCGAACTCCCAAAACCACCATAAACTGGAACTTATTCAATTCATTAGTCGGCTATCGGGAAGATGCCGTTGTCGATAACATCGACGAGGAATACAACCAGTTCATTCAACATGTTCACGTTAGCGCTATGAAAGCCGAGAGCTCGAAAGTCCCAAAAAGGCGTCTGTCTCCAGAAATTCTCGAGCTCATACGCCAGTGTGGAATCGCACGAGCTGCAGGCTGCCGCGAACTAACGTCCGAACTTGCAAAACAATGCAGACAGGCGATAAAAGAAGATCTCAAAGAGAGAAGAGCAGCAGTGAAAGTCAAAGCTCCAGAGGTTGGGAAATCATTCGCAAAACCCACCGAAACTTCGCCAATTACAAGAACAAGATGATTGCACTGCGACGCCCAGACGAAACAATTACAGCGTCCAGAAAGGCAGTGGAGAACAAATCATTCACCAATACTGCACAGATCTCTTCGATAGCCACATCCAACTCCTGTCATATGAAATAAAAGAAGATGGATATGTTGTACCACCGGTTTTCTCTTTCCAATTCCGATATGCTATTTTGTCATTGATTAATCGAGCTACACCTGCTCGAAACAGGATAAACATCTAAGAAACCGAGGTTGTTAAAGAGCACACATTTACTTCCACAGAAAAACAAAGTACAATACAGCAGTAGCTGACGTTTCGGTAGTATCGTCTTCTTCAGTATCTGAGAAACACTCCACCAGTCCTCGTAAACACGCTGGCCTGGCTCTTTACACGCTACCTGTCTGAATGCAAGGTACCTACTCAACCGAAGACCAACAAAACCGTGCTAATGTTCAAGAAGTATGATCTCCACGATATTGGCAACTATTGCCTAATCCGCTTACTTTCTGTCGTCTACAAACTTTTCACTCGAGTCATCCTAAACAGGAGTGACAAAAGACTGGACGAAGGACATCCATGTATTCGAAAAGGATTTAGTACGATGGACCACATCCACACGGTAACAAGACTCATTGAAGTATTGCGAGGGTACAAAAGACGGCTCTATCTCACTTTCATCGATTTACAGAAGGCCTTTGATTCAGTTGAGATAGAAGCAGTCTTGGAAGCCCTTGATAGTTACCCTACTCAATACATAAAATTCTTCGCGAGCTGTACAAAAATTTCGCAACCAAAATATCACCATTATACAACGATATTAACGTTGATTTCAAAAGAGGAGTTAGGCAAGGCGATACCATCTCGCCAAAATTATTTACCGCCACTCTCCAGAACGACATGCGAACATTGGAATGGGATACTATGGAAGTGAAAATCGATGGTCGGCAGTTACACCATCTTCGCTTTGCTGATGACATCGTCCTTGTAACACCAAACATTAGCCAAGCGGAACGTATGCTTGACCACTTTGAAAAAGCTTGTGGAAGGAATGGTCTTCGATTAAATCTCACAAAAACGATGTTCATGGAGGAGGGTTTGATTTCACGTGCGCCATTCACGCTCAACGGATCGAATTTCTCCGAATGCTTCAGTTATACCTATCTAGGTCGGGAAATCAATATAATGAACCGCCTAGCTCCAGAGTTGAGCAGAAGGAAATGAGTGGCTTGCCGATCAAAAACATCGAGAATGTAGTGAGGAGAACAATGAACATCCGATTCTCTGCCCACCTTTTCGACTCAACAGTACCTCCTGCTCTAACGTATGCGTCAGAAACCTGGTCGATGCCTAAGCAGGATGAAAGGTCGCTCAGAGTTATCGAACGCGCAGTCGAAATGACGATGCTAGGAGTATCTCGTTCCACACAAGTAAGGAAAGAGATCCGAATCTCCTACCTGCGTCAACGATCAAAAATCAAGGTGTCGTTCTGTACGCCAAACAGCCAAAGATAAGGTGGGTCGGTCACGTAATGCGTCTGAATGACAACCGATAGACAAGAGCCGTTAGTTACTGGGTTCCTAGGGATGTTAAACGCACTGCAGGACGACCACCTACTCGATGGTCACAGTTCTTCACGAAGGGCCTAGAAGAAAGATATGATGCTCGACGAATCCCTACAGCGAGATGAACCCACTGGGCTACACTTGCACGCGATATGGAAAAATGGAAGATTTTCTAGCGCCTGCTCGGGTCACACGACGGTCAACGACACTGCAAAAGATACAGGTGAATGTAAATTCTATTGTACATCTTCACTTAGTTGAAAATTTGCATTGAAATAACTGAGAATCATATGAAGGACTGTTCGGAACCGCTTGCTACAAAATTTTTTTGCCTGCTTCGGAAAAGCCAACAACTATACAGAAATGGATATAAAAGCTAAAGGATAAGGCTCTCCGCGTTGATCAATCCCTGAAGGATGCGCCATACATTCGACCTCATTAAGCATCGCTTGGAGAAGATTGAATGCATATCTGGCCTTTACAATGGCTCGCGGTGGCCTACCGACGTATCGAGCCAGTGCTGCTATCCTACCAGCCAAGTCTGGTACCAATCTGCCAAACAGGCAGCGATGGGAGGCTTGGTGGGGCAGGGTCGCGGGAGGGGAGTCTATCCCATATGTATTGCAGAGCGCCTTCGACTACTGCGCCACACGCGCCCCAGGAATAGGTGTCGCCTGTGGCTAGTGCATACATCATTTACTATATAAAACAAAGTTATTACTATCCCATAACTTTTTCAACTGTTGATCGTTGTTGATTTGTTGATATTTGTTGACCATTTTTTAAATTAATAACTTGTCAGTGAGATGCGCGCAGCGCAGCGGTTTAGATGTGTCCTGCAATTCGACACAGCGTCCGAGTTAACCAATTCTCAAATACCTTTGGCCTTGGGAAATTGCCACTACAATTGTAGAAAGCACTGTGGGAACCTATAGGCAGGCTTCTCGAAACAATTTTACATGGCAGACATGCACTCAATCACACTTATGATGCTATGAATTGAGCCGAATGCACGGCTGGTCTTTAAGGAATTAATCATCTCCGAAAGCTTTGTTTACTTGATCTTACATTAAAATTTTGTCATATTGCTAAACGAAATCTGAATTGACTTTAGGTTATTGAAGGAAGGTTTTTTCTTAAAGTAAGTACTTCATAACAAATTAAATCACATTGCGTACCGTAGTGTGAATAAGTGATGTAGCACGAGTAGGATTCTTTTCTGCCATAATTCCCTGAAATCGCTTTGACTAGTTGCAAAAGTGTGTAATAAAGCAGTAAATTTTACACTATTGTTTAAAAGTCATCTCACTTTTAAAATAATCTGTCTCAGCTTCTCATCGTTACATGTGCTAGTGGTGCTGGTGACGATTTGAACTGACTTCGAAACCCCTCGTTTGCTACGTGCACAACACTGAAAAGTTTTTAAGAGAATCAAAGTCAATTAGTGTAGCCTTTGAATTAGCTCCATAAAGCACCAGGAGATTATTTTTCGGCAAAGTATCTGTTCCCTACGGCCCAGAGAATAGAATTACTACCTTTATAACCACTGAGATTACATGATGTTCTTCTGTTATTCCGTTACTTTTAAGCCGATTGATTTTCGTTGTTTTAATAAAATTGTTCATTTTCGTGGTTTAAGAATTTTCGTTATTATTAAAAATTAAAAGGACACGTGTACCGAGCGCACTGGTTAGAGGTGTCTACGTGGGTTTGATCCCACCGTCTAGGTTCACCAAGCCTTCCATAGCTCTAGGTTCGGCAAATTGATGCCAGACCTGTCTGGGAGGATAGCAGCACTGGCTTGATACATCGGTAGGCAATTGCGGGCCATTGTGTTGGTGAGATAAGCGTTAAATTTCCTCTAACGATGCTTGGTGAAATCGGACGCTTGAGGCGTCACTTTGGAATTGATCAACGCCGAAAACTTTATCCTGTTTTTATTGAAAGTTCGCTAAATGGCAATAAGAAATTAGGCATTCTAGGCGCGAATGACCGTGTCCCCAGTGTAGAAAGCTTTTACAGTTTATGTGAAGACACCTCGGCGTTGATCCGTCCCTGAGGGACGCGTCATGCATTCGATTTCGCTAAAGCGTTGTTGGAAATGACTGAATGCAGTCTGTCCTATACAATAACTTGGAGGGGCCATTCGATGTATCAGATCACTGCTGTTTTGTTCCTAGACGTGTCTTATACCAATGTGCCGACTCTAGATGGAATGCTTGGTGAACACGAGGCACTGGACCGAACCAACGACTATGTGTTTATGCAGAGCGCCTCTAAACATTGCACTACTCCAGCACTATAATGACAATAGCAGGAAGGAATCGGCTTGTTAAATCATCCTTGAGCGATCGACCAACTAATGACAGAATTTGCTATCATTAAGGAAGTATCGTCGTGCAAGCAACCGAATCGCTGAGCAGAAAATTTCCCTCTAATATATAAGTGCTGCCCTGGTGACGACCTGAGCACGATACAGTCAAGTTATTTCAGGTTTCTGGAAAAAATTCGCTCGATTGGTATTTAACATTATAATGATAGAAGCGCCTCGAATTGCAGCCGAATCCCATTCAAAATCGATCGGATGACTCTTAGCAAGGCACCATTACGAATGGAAGAATTGCTGGGAACTACACAGTATGTTGAGATTGGGTGTATTTGCATCTCCTGTACGAGAAGTGCTTTAGAAAACAAGCCGTGGCAGAAGCTACCTTCAACGATTTCTTCGCCTCCAGAAATTCAAAATACTGTGCGAGTCGTATAGGTAAGCTCGATTCTCATTTCGTTCACGTCTAACGTGCCCAAAACCACAAAATAATCGCTTTTCGAGCTATTTTCTCGAATAACTTCTAACGCGCCCTTAGCCGCGAAATAAGCATTTTCCAAGCGATTCTCTCGATTAGCGTCTAACTTGCCTAAAACCACGAAATAAGCGCTTTACGAACCATTGTCTCGAATAACGTCGAAACCCACAACCTCGAAATAAGCGCTTTCCGAGCAGTTCTCTGGAATAACGCCTAACGTGCGCAAAATCTCCAATTAAGCGCTTTCCGAGCTGAGCACTTTAAAAATATAGACCGATGTCCGACATAATTTGTAAAACAACCACAATGATGCTGAGATAATTGCAAAACTCCGGACCACAAGTGTCTATGGTGGGAAACAAACGCCTTATTGTCCTTTCCGGGGGCTAACGCGTTCACCACCATACCATGCGCGTCCTTCGTCTAGCCTATCTCTTAGCTAGTTCTATCGATCAGCGCCATCAGCGATCACTCGTCAACAGGATTGGTCTTAGGAGGACCCCAAATCGGCAACGAACCCAATTAACCTGAGGCGGTAGTCAAATCACAATGCTATCTTTTTATTCACTGCTTTTACAAGTTTCTACGGGAGTTTTCACGGATTTAGGCTTCCTAGATCAATCCCGTTGACGAGTGACTGCTGATGGCGCTGATCGATAGAACAAGCTGAGAGACAGACGAAACGAGGGATCCGCATGGCATGGTGTAGTGGTGAACGCGTTAGCCCCCGGAAAGAATAGTAGCGCGTTGGCTCCCTACCGCAGACACCTGCGGTACGGAGTTTTGCAAATATCTCAGCATCATTGCGGTTGGTTTGCAAATAATACCCTGCCGTAAAAACTTGTAAGAGGCTGTAAATAAAAAGTTAGCATTGTGATTCCAATATTATTTTCCGAAAGTTCTACCTATAATTGTTGTAATAATAATGGCTATGATAGCAATTATAGAATATTTTCCGAGATACTAAGAAAACCAGAAAGATATCAATGTGTGGTGATAGATGTAGTAGGAAATGGTGAACGTACCGGCGTGCAGAATTTGCTTGGTGGTGGTGGAGGTGGTGGTGGTGGTGGTGGCGGTGGACAGGGTGGCGGCGGTAGGCAGAGATTGGGTAACGCAATGGGTGGCAACGTTGGCAGAGGACATCCACATCCTGTATAGCTTAATAGATTGGTGTCTATTGACCGACATAGTTTTCGGCATTGTAATGCGAAATTTCCAAAAACTCGCTGCTTATTTTCAACGGGTGATGTTTCAAAGAGTATTTATTAATTTCATCTTGTTTTAGCCATGCGTTAACATATTAGCAAAATGTTAGCAACTGTTACCGAAGTGAAATGAAAGTAGGATTTCGAACCTTAAAATGGAATTTCAGAATATAGAAAGTTTTCATGAGGGTTTTTTATATATGACACAACTTTACGTTTACCATGCGGATCTCAGCACTTCTCACATTTGATTCGTTTCCTCGCATCCATTTCCCATGAAGAACTTCCAACTTTTACGTGTGGCTTCGGTTGCTGCTTGAGAATTTCTATTTTAGATTGAATGTCGTAGAATGCTGGTCGAGTCGATTCTCTCTGGAATCCTGAGATCGACGAACTAGAGCGTTCCAAACTGAATTGCAGAGAGCGATTTTTCCAGGACAAGTCTGATACCAATTTTTCGCGACCGCGGAGAGATGAGAGATTTGCTTAGCCGGGATTGGAATCGAACTAGCACCAAGCTCGTAGTGACCAACATCACTATCACAGTCCTATCCGCCTCATGATGAAGAATTAATGGTGGTAAAAGTAATAGTAGCAAATCTTAGCATGTATCATAAAGGATTCAGCTTTTCACAGCGCCATCAAGCACTCGGTGGACTAATGCCGAGGTTGCTTGTCATCACAGAAATTGCTGAAAGTCTGGATGTGCCTGAGCTGCTAAGCAGAAAACTTCCCTCCAGTTCACAAACGACAGAAATTTTTTTTCTAATCCAGTTATCTCGTGTTTATAGGGAAAATCAAGCCTCTCAACCTTCAACGCTTTAGTGGGAGAAGATAACACAGCGTCAAGATCTCCCCAAATTGAAGCACTACCTTAGCTACCACTGTGGAAACAGTTTTAAAACAAGGACAAGAAAAAAAAGAAACGTATGACATGCGACGTATTTCAACCCAAATATGTGAATAAGTGAGTGGTATATTTCTAACATCAGTTTCCTTCTTTATGGCTGAATCATTCAATCCTGCGGGAAACGCAAAAAAATGTTATAAATATCCCAGCTAAATGTCTTACTAAGATCGTTTCTTGAAGAATGTCAATGGCAGCTCGTTTTAATTTCGACACTAACCATTAAATGTCAAATTTTCCGAAAAATATTATTCACCTACTTGGTACCCCAAGTGACGTATAATGAATAGCCCATCTTAGCCACCGATCCGAGATGATTACGTCGTAATTTCTCTTCTAGGTGCCCTTTATCATGAGCTTGATAGAGGTTTCGATGTTTGTATGTTCTCGTTGCAAATGAACGTCTACACTATGGTCCATTCTGATTCTCAAAGACTTAACAATATTTGAGATTCTTGGTACTCATCCTTACTAGTACTTTTAATATTTGTATATTTTTAATATACAAGGCCTCTGACCTCCATCACCATTGGAAAAGTTCGCTTTTGGTCCATATTTTTAACCCACTTCGAGAGGCATCGCTTAGTTCCATCACTAAGCTGCTCCACATCACATTTTTGAAATCCGTTAATGGGCATAGTAATTAATGTTCGGAAATGCAATTCTTTAGTAAAGATTACAGCGGCTTGTGAACTTGTAATAAGATGGAGTTACTAGACTGCTATAAATTATAATAGGAAGCTCTCTTAAATATTATTGCCTACATAGCCTTCAAAGTAAGGATGGTGTTGTGCGCTGCAGTAAAAAACAGTGGTGTGCAACACTAAGAAGTATTATTACTATTTGAAAATAAATGCCTAATTTCTCAGCGTTGATCAATCTCTGAGAGGTGCTGCATGCATTCGACTTAATTAAGCATCGGTGCAGAAGATTGAATGCATATCTGACCCGTATAGCGGATTCCTTCCGATCTATTGAGCCATTACTGCTATCCTCCAAAACAGTTCTCGTACTTATTTGCCAAGCCTGGAGGGATGGAAGGCTTGGTGAGTTTGGGGCGTAAGGTCGATCCTATATGTATTGCAGGGCGTCCCTAACCGCTGCAATACACGCTTCCAGGTTTCAGAATAGGAATGGTAAATCAAACTCAACTCACCAAAAGTGGAGTCGACGGCTATTGGTAAAACAGCAATGAGAATCCAGAACATCATTCTTTGATAGAAGAAGACTTGTTACCTGATAGCAATAAGAAAGTGTCTAGGAAGAGAGTTATTTATAGACGGTGTGCTCTGGTACGGAAGCCAGTCCAGCTCTACAAGTCCGCACTGTGGGTAATTGAGAACGTGGACTGGAACAGTGAATAAAAAATCTTTCTTTAGGTTCGAAGCCGGTTCCTGAATAGAAAAAAAAGCGGAAAAAGCTTTAGGAGTGTCATATTGGGCAACCGATAATAGAATTTTTTAACATCTGTTACTTGCGCCAACCTCCTCTTAGGGTGGATGCCTATTTCCGGTTATTCCATTCTTGCAAGCTAAATGCGCTCACCAATGGGTAGTCGAGCTTTACAAACGTTAGTGGTTTTTTTTTTAGTAAAATGATCATCTTCTCGAAACTGCTAGACTTTTTTAAGTTAAAAAACTGAAAGGGGGAGTGGTGTAGTTCGTGGTGATGGCAAACTAAGAAAGCAACTGCTTTTCAATGTCGTCTACAAAGATGTATTTTCATTATCGTGAACACTAAGATTAATATTGTAGAGAATTTTAGAAGAAAATTTCTACTATAAGCAGTTGAAATAATTAAATCACTGTTAGAGCTAGGCATTCATGCATATGTTTACTTCCGACCTTCCCTGTAGGAATGACTAACCCTCATTCGGAAGAATCTAAGAAGGTAGTCGTACGCGTTGAGCTAAAGGGGAAAGAATGCATATTTGGACTAAACGCTGACTTCTGGGGGCTTACTGAGGTATTGAACAAGCAACCACTGCGTATTGTAGATCACATCTAGCAATGAGCTACATGCGCTCTTTTTATAAATCGTAAATTCGCATCATTTATAATAAGGTTTCCTAAGAGGTACGTATTACTACCGGCAGATACGATCACTTAACAAAGTCATTTGAAAACCAACTTTCACAGTCGCTTCCGTTCTAGAATCACTAAGGTTCGCTCAATAGGCTTACTAATTCTTCGATTGTGCGCTCACCGAATTCCATAAATCAATCACTGTGCGAAGATATCATTCTCAACGTTGTTTAAAGTTTAAGGTTGAGTGTGACTATAGCAATCACGTCAATACACTCTGATTCGCTTCCATGCAGGCTGACCTATCTTCCTTTAGTTTTTTTTCCTAACATCATTGCTAACTGTAACCGTCGTGGGAACTTCAGCTAATGTAATATCATATCATCGTATTCAAAAAGGCATTCCAACAAGTGATTGTAACGTGGGCATGGCAGAGAATGTCTCTACTTGTAAGTCTTATACAACCAGATTTTTGCAATATATCAAACTCCAGTACAGCGCCACATTCGGTCTCTGTAAGTTTATGAGAAAAAATGAAAGTGCTTGGTGGTGATGTATTGGCGCTCTGCTAGCTGTACTCAATGTTTCAGTAAAAGAAGAGGTTATGGTAAAATATAACGCTATCGATCTACTAAATCCAGGAGAAAGATGTTTCTCTCGATCTAGATAGTAGCACATTATGCAATAAAATTTCAATAACTCTTAGGATACCCTGGATGCAAATTTTGATGAGAATTATCCAGTTTCTATCCCGTCTCCATCGTCGCACTTTTCAAACAACGTCGCCAACATTGTGATGAGTCACAGTAGTCTTTGAAATTATCGCTCAAGGATTTCGTCTATACTGATCCTTTTAAATAGCTCAGCCTTCACTAACAATGATGTCGTAGTAAGTCTACAGCTTTTCTAAATCTCATTACAGCAATGGGAATACAAAAAATGTAGTAAAACTGAAAAGAGTTGAACGAATAAAGAAGTTTGCTGAGGTGAATAAACTTCTCTTCAATTGATTGTCCATTGCAAATCTGTAATCGCTTATCAACATTATCATAAACCCATTTGTTTCGCACCCGTGTTGCGCCGAATATCTGCGGTTCTGTTGGTGTCATTTCACAGACCCCAAATAAAACTTGCTTAGGGCTTAAATAGTGATTAAAATAATGATTTGACGAACTGTGTAAAATCGTTTGTACTCTGAAACAGAAGAACCCGCCAAAGTGGTGTTCTGGATTGAAACTCAGACTATTGTAATTTCAAGAATCTAGTGAAGTTGCACTTAAAAGACCAACTACCACCAATAATAATGAAATACTACTCATTTATGAAATAGGTAAGCTATGAATGCACAATTTTTGGGGTCCTAGTGAGAATTTCCATGGGGCCTGAGAAAAAGCTCTGCGATTCAGTTTTTTTTTAAAGAAATTTTCTTCCGTGCCTGGATATGATTTAACAAACCATTACACGAATTAATAAAACTCTGTGGATTCTTGCAAATGAGAGAGCGTCACATTTATCCTAGAGTTGAATGTGATAGCAATAAAATTCTATCAGCACATCAGTTCGATGCCGCTCATTCTAAGATCGCTAGTCCAGAACGTGTTTTTGGGTTTTCAGTTATCACAGAAGGAAAATACGTGCATATGTGAAACCTTAATAATTCTTATCTCTCTGAAGAAATTGCTTCTAAAAAGTGGTGGGACAACTATAAAAAACAATTGGATTGTGGGTGACAGCAGTTATCATCTAAAAGAAACTTAATCATCACCGTCACGATCAATACAACACCGTCTACTAGACGATTGCCACACGTTGTTTAAATGAAAAAAATGAACTTAGGCCGAAATCACACTCATACGCACGGTACATGCATTCATAGATAACGCACACCGACACACACCTAAACACACACACACACCCACACACATACATACATACACACACCCAAACACATACACACACATACACACACACACACACACACACACAGACACACACACACACACACACACATGCAAACACACC